GGTGTTCTTACCTCACAAGTAAGACCAAGCAGATACCTTCAGAGACCACCAGAGAGACCAGGAGTTGGGTCGAAATGTACAATGTACAAACCGGTTTTATTAAGTTTTTAACAAAAATAGGGGATTTACAAGAATCCCAAAAATAACAAAAGAATGATACAAAAGGTTTACAAAGAAACAAGGTCCAAGTACAAAAGCAACAGGTTCACAAGTGAATCCCCTAGAGCGGTCTAATGGCACATTTCCACTGCAGCGGGGTAGCCCCTTTTAAGCGTCCCTAGCGTCCTCGCTCAGGCCTCGGGCTGCCTCGCTGGCCGTGGCGCATTTCCATTACAGTTTAGGACCTGGGGTAGCAACGCAGTGTAGGCGGGGCGATCTGTGCAGAGACATCCTGGAACACTTTCACATTTCGAGTTGTTCCGTCGAGCTCCCGCTGGATTTGATCATCCCCAATGAGATGTAGGAACGTCGTCACCTCCTCGGTCGACCACGGTGTGGTTTTCTTTGACGTTGCCATTTTTGTAGCTCCTCCGTTTACAAAAATGCTGTGTATAAAATGCTGCAAGCTTGCTTCTAGATATATATGCGACGCTAGGGATGATCTCGCGCGCGATCTCGTGACGATTCTCTCTGACCAATCAGCAGTCGAGAGTGTTGATGTCACTAGTTCAGCCCTGGCCCTGGCCTGATAGAACCACGATTTTATGGGGCCGGAAAAAGAGGGAAAAAGTACCCGCTAGCCAGTGCTACGCTACATGGAAAGGCCACCAAAAACTGGCCTGGCCGCTTGAGGACGATTAAGGACGCTTAAACGGGGCTACCCGCTGCAGTGGAAATGCGCCATAAAAGAGCCCTAGCCCTGGCCCAGGGCCCAAAATCAAGCTTCCAAAAAGTCCCCCCAAGCTCTCTCGTTTCTCTTCACACATCATCTTTTATTACATTACATGTTACTTGTTAGACGCTTTTATCCAAAGTGACTTACATACTCAATACTGTGGACAATCCCCACAGGAGCAATTTGGGGTGAACCCGCACTGCTGACTGCAGTGGGGTTTGAACCTGTGCTCCCCTGATCCGAACACCAACGCACTAGTCCACTGCGCCACACGCCTCCCAATATACATTCTATCTATAGTGTCTTCGCTCCTCCCTCTCTGCATCAGGTGGTTTCCCCTTTTCTATCTTTGAGGGAGAAGGAGGTCACATATGTTCAACTTTTACTTAATGAACAATTAAAAATGTAAAGTTAAAATAAAACAAAGACTTATAGTAATAATATGCACTTTTAACAAGAGGGAATATGAACATTTTTCATGAAAGCAGAACACATTGTCAAGTTTTTTTCTTTAAACATTTAATTTCAAATATGCAAACTTTATACTTTAATTTATTAGCAGAGACAATAGGGACAGATTGTCTCTAAGATTCGCTGGCCCAGGAAGTTGGTTCAAATCTTTACGTAGTCCGTCTGCATCCTGTGTTCATTTTCTTCGTCAACCTTTGTAACCGTTGTCAAGGTGTCAAAAACCACAACGCCTTCCTAGCATTGTGTTTGGAACTGTTATGCTTTGCTTGCACCTTCTAAATTGCATAATGTGCATAGGTCAATAGTTCAGGATGTTCTGTCTAGTTTCACATGTCTGATAAAACATTATTGAGACATACATCCTTTCCATCAAACCAAATTATAGCAAATTTAACATTTGTTATTAATGGTAAGCTACAGTAATAGAGATAGATGAGGTCTGTCTCAGCCACTTACAGTAAACAGCAGATCTGTCAACAGTAGACTTCAAATAGTAAAATCATTTGCAACCAATTTCCGAAAATAATTTTTTGCGACCTTTCTGTACAATCAGAAATATGTTTTTAAATAGGCTACTGTGTGTGTGTGTGTGTGTGTGTGTGTGTGTGTGTGTGTGTGTGTGTGTGTGTGTGTGTGTGTGTGTGTGTGTGTGTGTGTGTGTGTGTGTGTGTGTGTGTGTGTGTGTGTGTGTGTGTGTGTGTGTGTGTGTGTGTGTGTGTGGTGTGTGTGTGTGTGTGTGTGTGTGTGTGTGTGTGTGTGTGTGTGTGTGTGTGTGTGTGTGTGTGTGTGTGTGTGTGTGTGTGTAGTGTGTGTGTGTGTGTGTGTGTGTGTGTGTGGTGTGTGTGTGTGTGTGTGTGTGTGTGTGTGTGTGTGTGTGTGTGTGTGTGTGTGTGTGTGTGTGTGTGTGTGTGTGTGATTTTCTGGTGCAATGTTAATCCGTCTATTGTTTAATGCTGGATTAAAAACTAAATTTGTATTCCTAAATGTTTGATTCTAATATTCAGATGTGTGTGTCCGTTTTCAACATGCATTAATAATTCAGGATGGCTTGCATGAAAGGGAACTGGACCATTTATAGCTACAAATGGATTACTATTTTGTTTGATGGGGAAAAAGGATGCTCCTCTCTGCATTCAAGCAGCAGAACATGCAAAGGGGAACACAACTCAGCACACATATCACGTTGATGGCTTGATGGCATATACATTATGCACAAGGCAAGAGATGCCAGTGAATGTATGACAAATAAGAAACTGAAGCATAGGGAAGGCTGAAGGCTGGGGTAGAGGAGGGGTAACCAGCAGCTGTGAGTGGCAGGTAGAGAAAAGTGCATCACCAGACACGGCAGCAGTAATGACCAGCAGTGTGATCCTGCCAGGTTGTTAAAACCAGCAAGTGTGCTTGATTGTGGTCGGACTGTAACTAGCATTTCATTTGATTGTTTACCAGTCGAAGATATATTTCTTTGGGATCTAAAATGTAAACTTACAGATAGTATGTCTTGTATATTGTCCGGCTCAGTCAGTAGGGGCTTGGACTGGGAGCTGTAGGGTCGCCGGTTCAAGTCCCCGAACAGATGTAACATATGGAAGTGTGGACTACTTGGAGAGGTCCCAGTTCACCTCCTGGGCCCTGCCGTGGTGCCCTTGAGCACCCCCCCACTCCTATTGCTCCCCGGGCGCTGTACAATAGCTGCCCACTGCTCCTACTACTAGGATGGGTTAAATGCAGAGAACAAATGTCACTGTGTGTGATAGGGCTGCTCGATTATGGCAAAAATCATAATCTCGATTATTTGGGTCAATAATTGATATCACGATTATTAAAAACGATTATCCATTTACTTTGAAAACATCCATTTATTGAAAAAAAAAATGTGAACAGTATGTTTTTAACAGTTGATTACCCTGAACTTTAAGTATAACTCAACTGAAAAAAAAAAATGAAATAAATAATCGTTTTATTTCGATTATATAGTATCATCACTGAGTGATCCGGACTCGCGACAGGGGAAGCAAATACAGACATCACAACACGTACCTTTACGTGTGTGAGAATGCTGAAGGTGAATATGATCACAGTGCTTAAAATATGTGTTGACATGTACAACTGATAATGCAATTTTAAGTATTACAACTTAAACTGTTATGCAGAAACGATGACCTCAACAATAAACTATGCTACAAATCGGTGCAAAATCTCCATGAAAAACTTTGTTCACTTCTGAATCTGAAATATTGGGGAGCTACAGGCACTTAAAATAGTATTAAAAGAAACATTTGTAAGCAGAGTGAGGATACATGTTGGGACTGAATATAAGAAACACACTGAATGACAAAATACATTGTGGGTGATTCTCTTTAAAACAAGCCTTATCAGTGTTTTTGATCTGGCTTTTTTTGTGTCTGTTTCCTCATTTTTCATTATGGTTGAGGTTGGGTCAGGTTTAGCCCTCAATCTACTTGGTTAGGTTTAGAAAGATAATTTACTGGATTCAAATCAGATGATTTTGCATTGGGAATCTGCTTGGTTAAGCTGCCTGTGCAGATTTACATCCTGTGTTACTCACCAAAACGCATTGTGCTTACCCTTGAGGTCTGGTGCTTTGCTGCTTTCTTGGCAAATTCACACCAAAAATAAGTCAGCAGAGTAATATGAAATACTAAAAGAGAAATCTACAGATGAAAAAACTCCACTGGGTACCTTTTTTAAAGTAACACATTAACAGCTCAAACATCTGGTTCTGGTGTTTTTCTTTGGAGGACAGTGTGACAGTGTGAGATTTGTGATTTTGTTTCTTACCACAATGCTCCTTGGGAATTGTAGTTGCCTTATATCCTCAGGATTTGTATACTCTTTTTAATTTTGAGTTTTCATCAGCACAATTGCTCATTGTTTGTACTGGTGATTCATCCCGAGGAGCTTTATGTCCATCCAAGCCTTACTCCAACAAATATCTTGAAAACAAATGTAACTTCTGGAACGCTGAACGCCCAAAATACCTCCTCCCACCTCACTACACAGAAGGGCACTTATCATGGCAGGCAGAGTATGAGGCGCAGGTCAGTGCGTAGTTACAGATTGTACGGTACGGTAGTAGAGCAGCGACTTTCTGCTCTATTTTAGTACTCTACCTTCATTTTCCCAGGGAGATTACCGCAGGTCAGACCTTATTGTACTCCAATGTGGCTCCAGCCTTGATCACATGAATCATTTAGCAGAGTGAGTCACAACTCAAAAGTGATGCAGTGATGTATACTGTGCATTTATCATCACATTTATATGGATATCTTCATGCTGTATGCTTTGTAGGCAATGCTTTCTAAATATTATATGAAAAAAATAAGGGAGAACATTGTGGAGGAATGGTTTGCTGTGACATAATTGTTTATATATATTTTTTAATCTATTTATCACATGATCTCCCCAAGAGCAAAGTATGACAAGTCCTCTCAGGCAATTCTCCATTTCATTTTCATCTCCTCAAAACAGGCATGCATAAATACTCATGTTATTCTAATCGGAGGCTGTGTGCCGCCGTACGATTGGCCGATAGCTGATGACTCACTTCAACAAGCTGGTGTGGGGCTGGCAAGGAGAGGGTGGGTGGATGGGTGGGTTGGTTAAGGTGGTGGTGAAAAAAGGGGGAGCAGGAGGCGGGAGTAAAGCTTTCTCCAAAAGCTTGTAGGCTTGTGTGGGTTGTTGTTGTCAGAGCAAGCTGGTCCTCACACATTAACACACAACATAAATACTTACAGAAGGAGTCAACTCAATCTTTAACCACTTTCCCACTGTGTTCCTGCCTTTTTCCGCAGCCGATACTGCTGCCTGTAGCCAGACTTAAGGAGAGACACAGAGCCTGGAGGAGAGAGAGGGAGGGAAAGAGAGATAGACTTGTGCTGATCACAGAGGCTGCAGCCCCCAGCCTTCCCTGCGCTGCTGCTACAGTACGTGTGAAAGGCAGAGAGGGAGAGGCGGCAGAGGCAGAGCTGGTGTTTGTCTCTGAGACTTGGAGGAAGGAGGAGAGCGCTGTGAGCAGAGTCAGTCCTCTGGTATGTGTCCACTGTGAGCGACTCCATCCCTGCAAACCTCCACCTCACCCACCAGGACTCTGACACCAGCCACACAAACAGGTGAGTCTCAGCAGCGTCATAATGCACTCCTCTCATTAGCGTTTGACTTGACACTTAGATATCATTGTGATGTTAAAAATGTCAATGATTTATTGATTTAACAAAGATGGATTGATTGAAAGTTTTTAAGAAATCAGGCATATTGATTTTCAGTTGCGCGTGCATAGGGATGTGGCGAGTGGGGGCGGTTTTTTTTACACGCATGTTTTGCATGTGCGTTAGTTTGTGTGAAGGCTTGAAGACCTCATTGACTGACGAGGGGAAAAGACCACAGGGATTCAGGGGGTAAAAAAAGTCTCTGATAGGAGAGGATCTGTCTGATTTCATCCCTGTTTTCCCTTGTGTATATCCATGTGTACCTAAAAGAGAAAGTGGGTGGAGTGGGAACCGTTTCAGCTCTGCTTGTGTTATCTCATCTTGTTTGGAAACAGTTGGAAAAAAATAAAAACACGATGAAGACAGTGCCATCTCAGGTGCTGCGTTTTAGGCAGAATAAGGTATTTGAAGGAATGCAGATTGGGCATATATTTCAGTGTGTAGTGTGTGTGGGCACAGCTAAATCTGCGGCTCTTTACATATCAGATTTACACTGTTTTTCTTGAGCTCAGTGTGAGCCTTTTGTCTCAACTGCGCAAGAGAACTACTGCATCCATCCCTAATTGTTGTTGCATTGACAGGATGCGATCACTGTGGCATAAGACTATACTAATATTCCCAAATCAAAGGCTAATCCGTTACATAATAAGGTCTTCACCATAGTGGATTGATTTCCAAAATAGAGCTGACATCTTATCATAGATCTCTCTAATAAGCAAGATTCTGCAAGGTTCATTTTTTTTCTGAATTATCATGGTCAAAGGACAATGTGTACATTTGGTATGAGGAACATTTTACTTCCCATATATCTACATTTTGACAGCATGGATACAAGTGGTTTAATCAATCACATTTATTTTGATTTGATAACTAATTGCTTTTCTATTCATCCGATTCAGCTTTATCTTTATTCTGATACGCAGCTGTCCTCTCATCTATCACATGAATCCGACTTTGCCGATTTCAGCACCTTCTCCTCCTCCATGTTAGTGTGTGACACTTGTCGCTTGTACTGTTGCATCCTGAAAATGTACTGAGTGAGTGTGTAATGGCAGCTCATGAGTGTTTTCCGCAGGGAATCAGCAGGTCTGTCCAGAATTGTTCCTGCCGGGGCACCACTTGTTGATTCAGCTTCACTTCTTTTTGAAGTTTGCCTGGGAACAAAGTCTTAATCTGGCATGAATTATTTCAAGCCTGTGCGATTTGCTTACATACAGGACAGAGAAATACGAGGCTTTGAATAGGACCATATGGCCGAATGAGATTTCACAGAGAGACATTGTCAGTGTCTAGTTTAAATCCCTGAGCCATGACCGTGATCTGGGCTGCCATTGAGAGTGAAAAATCCCCTCCGGTTGGCCTCTGTCTGAGGATGCTGCTGTTGTTTGCCTCTGACTGTCAGTCTGTCAGTGGCTGTGATGTTGAGGAATCATCCCCAGATCCCCATTGACCCTGCCACAGCCCTTTATCACCCATCTTTCAATATATCTGTCCATCCATCCATCCATCCCTTCATGTTTCTCCCACTGGATTTCAAATGTTTGTCTCTTCACTTTCAACGCGCACCTCCCCCCCCCCCCCCCCCCTCCGCTCTGGTCGCCACAGAAACGGCTGATTCAGGAAGGGTGGGCGGGTGTCTCAGAGCTCTTGCTGCTCTGCCCCATGCGGTGCTTTCACAGTACATTTCTACCTCTGTGCTGCTTTTATGGCCCCCGATATGTTGACAGTTCAGGTGGCTCAGTCAGATGTTATACAATCGTATCAGCAACACAAAGGCAGTTTGTTCTGTTCCCACAAAGGACATGTTTGCTATTTAGAGTTACATTTCCATTCATGTTCAATTGGTACGAACACGGGAAATCTCTCCGCTGCCCGCTGACAAACCACATAGCGCAGGGAGGTTTTGTCAAGAGGTTTACTGTGCTCAATTTCGAAGACATTATTTATAATTCTGACGTAATTGTCTGCCTCTTGACTGGTCTACTAATTAAGCATTGGGATGACCCTTAGAGATTACGGATCTTTGCTTAAACATATTTGACACACGGGGTCCGAGGCTCAATGTGTGTGTTTAGAGACTACTCTGAGGTGATTAATAATGTAATAATCCGTGACCGAGTCATTCAATAATAGATAGGCCTATGCTATGACCTTTCTCTTGCGTAAGGTTGATGAAGCAGAATAATAGTGATGGTGGACAGGATTGAAAGGAATGAGTGGAATTGAATAGAGAAATCTTGGATAAATCCCCCCCTGCGTAACCGTTTCTCACAGTCGACCTCCCACTCAAAAAAAAAAAGCGCAAGATAAAAGATTTGCTTCCGTTATTACAGAGGAATTCATCACAAGTGTCTTTTTGGTTTTGTGTTGTCGTTTTTATCCATTTTGTTGCCTGTTTGGGATTGCTCTGGTTGCCATGGTGATTGGAGTTTGTACAGTAGCTTAAAACACTGCCTCTATAAAAGGCTCCCGAACAGGAAATGAAACCTGTGTGTTGCACCGCAGTCGATTCTAAGAAGGTCCCCATGAGCTCATCCCACGGTGATTAAATTAAAATGGGAATTTGTTTCTACTCAGGAGGTAATGGGGAAGACCAGCGATGTCTAATGTGTCGGCTCCCTGAAAATCAAGCTTTTAAAGTGTTTTCATTGTACAGACACATTACTGATATCATGAGTGTTTTTACAGCCTGCTACCTCACACAAATTAGCTATTGCAAAAAGTTTCTTGCAGCTAATGTTATCTGACAATTTACAGTTTTTGTATACAGGGGTGAAGAGCAGGAACTAGTGATTTCAATCAATACATTTATTAACCTGCTTAAAGCACAATTCGACTTCATCCTATTCAAAAGTAAATGTCTCCGATTATTTGATTTATTTTCAGTTCGAACAAAAAGGTGTAAATGTAGGCTGCTGGGGTTTCTCCACCCTGCAGTGTTCAGCCATTACAGTCAGTGGTGACGCAGCCGAGGCTCACACAGCACACTGCAGACCCGTCACAAGACACAGCCAGAACAAAGAGCATACACTGTCATCTAAGAGAAAAACGTAACACGGACAATTACCAATAAACAGCCTTTTCACAATACGAGAACAGCCGATTGGGCATTCCAGCATCACACTGAGACCTGAGTGGCTCACCCTAGTACTTTTTTAGGACGCTGTCCCAGGTACCCCTTTGGCACCGGATGTTCAGGTGTTATGTGTGTTTGTGAATATGTGAAGTATGCATGTATGAATGGATGCATGTATGAATGGGGGTTCACAGATGATAACAACTCTGATGTCAGGCACGTTGATAAAATAAATGTGACTGCAGCCTTACTTGGTGGTTTATCACACCATAACTAAACAACAAAGGTAAGTTTATAGAAGATAAATCTGACACTTTAAAAATGATGATAAAGACATTTTAGACTGAAAGTTTAATAAGTAAATTTCTGTAGAAGCCAGCAAAAATAATGATTGTTCATTGGATAAGCTAATCCTGTGAAAAGCTAATGGGATTCTTAAGATTATAAAAAAAATAAAGATGTTTTTTATTGCATGGATGAAATGCAGAGTCAAAATTGAAATTAGCTTTTGGGCCAACCAGGTGCTCCTTACAAAGGTGCAGGTGACACTACAAAGACTACATGCAGCATAAAAAACACATGTGTCCAGTACACAAATCCACTAAATGTATATCAGAGGAGGCTGTCTCCTCTGATATACATTTAGTGGAGAATCACTTTGAGTAACCAGAACCTTACCGTTTGTGAAATAATACCATCAACTAATCACATTTCAGAGTTAATTACTTAGAAAACATTGTTAATGACAATCATCTTAGAATTGTATAGAACATTAAGGTGGTGAGGTGATGCTCTTTGTTTAAAATCCAAAATAGTCTGTCAAATGTAGTAATACCTTACATATCATGTAGATAACACAAGGTTTTAAACTATTGTCCAGCCCCACTGTCACACACCATCAAGAGCCACAAGATGAAAAAGGGAAGATTAAGAAGCTGATTTGTCTTCAGAGTGTGTGACACAGCCCTACAGTATAAATTGAATAAAGCTACAACATGGATAGCAGCAGTAAAGAATGTCTGTGAATCTCAACAGGCAAAATAAAACTGTCTAAGGAAGATCTACTGTAAAAGGGCAAACAGCAGCAGGTATTCTGTTGGCTACAGCACAAACCTGATTTACCATGATAATAAAGAGCAGAGCTTAACTGTGTCTACCTGGGACTTCAGTGTTTCAATACATCCGCAGCAAAGACCACAGGATCCTTGGCCACACATTGAGCTCCTCCTAAAATGGATAACAGTGAAAACTGTTCAAGGATAAATCTTGCAGATTCGGTTTTTACTTTGTAAAAGGGACCGGCATAAAGGATCTTGTGTTCATGCATCTACACGGTCAGTGTGGTTTACTTTAATACACCATCCTGCTGCTGAAAAACAACTCATAAACTATTTACTCCTTTTTTAATTCTGTAACATTTTCCTAAAACTACAGTGGCCATGTTTGATATTTTTTAGACTTATTGAAAAGTAAAAGTATACATTGGTGACCTATTTTGTGTATTTAGCAGGGATCAGTTGCTTTTGGAGATGGGGAAGTTGGAGAGGGACAGAATGACACATATTGTTTAAAGGGATTTAATGACAATAATACAAAGGCAGAATATTGCCACCCTTATCCTTTTTTGGTAAGAAATCTGAATCGGACTGGAATAAGGTTGAACTGAGAGAGCAGACCTCTGCGAAGGCCACTTCCATAAGTGTAAGATAATTGTGTAACTGCCCCGTGATTCATACTTTTAATGGATTCTTTCTTGACCCATGAACCCTTCGACCCAGTTTCATGGAAATTGGGCCACTAGTTTTTCCGTGATATTGCCTGCAAACGG